GGAGGGAGGGAGGGATGCGTGGGTTCTTCTAGCTTCTCAGTGCTATGGTTTCAAAGTCACCTTGAAGTTTACAGCCCCTTTCTGTGGCTGGAGTTGCAAGTAGCCGTGTTCTCAAAGACGGCTGGATGTTTTCGTTGTTGCTTTTTTTGCATTTAAGAATGTATCGCTTTATGTCTGGAAATAAAAAAATCTCTATTTTGGTCTATGAAGCATCGTGTGGTTCGGAAAATCTTTTTTTTCTGGAGTCAAGGGGTTTTGTCTGAAGAGGGTTATGAGGAGAAAGAGGGTTATGTGGCTAAGGCTGACTGATTTTTAAATTCTGGCCTCCAGGCAGCAGCAAGGCCTGGTTTATGCAGAGGTTGAACTCAGGGCGATAGCGGTTCTCAGCTCCTCGGAAACGTCAGGATCACCTGGGAAGCATCTTCAAAGTCATTGCCGGCATCTCCCCAGACCTCGTGGGCTGCAATCTGGAGGGTAGACCGAGTGGAGTTTGAAAATTCCAAATGCGCTCTGAGTAGACAGACGGCCCCAAACAGAGGCAGGCACCAGGCAGATAACAGAAGGGCCTTGGATCAAAGCCCCACTTTGATGGTTTGTTTAACAAACCGTTCTTAGGTCTGAGAATCTGCTTTCCAAAGCCACAGGGTTTTGGAAGCTGTACCCAGAGAGGGCAGAGGTACAAGAGAAGGGGGGATACCATCCCATGTTCGAGGAGAGGTCTAAGAAACCAGCAGCGAACCCCAGACCCACCGCCTGTCAATCAAGTCTCCCGGCAATGGCCCTGGCTTGCCAGGAGAAATGTGTCCAGAATCTTCCGCTCCCAAAGCGTATGTACTTCAGTTTCGAACACTTGCCATGAGGTTTTAAAATAGAAAGGCTTGGACTCTTGCATTATTTATCCGCCCATTCCCGAATTTTACAAATCTGTTATTTTAATAATGCACGCAATCCTTTTCCTACTCTGTTCTCTGAAGACACCCTCGTCGCTTATTAAGAAGAGAGAGACAAGGACCTCTCAGGTGAGAAAAACGTGTCTTTAATCCCTCACCCTTAAGTGACTGGTAAAAGGGAGAGACCGGGCTTTAGACTCTGGGTAAAACTAAGTGGTGTCCAGAATTGTGAGTGTGAAGGACTTGGAACCTTCTGGATGCAGGAGCCGGTTCCCTGGCACGTGCCCTTGGAGTCCAGCACCATTCCCGTCGCTGAGCCTCGGATGGGAGAGTCTGTTCTGTTAGGAGGGGGTCCTCGGCTTCCACAGGTAAGCCTTAACGGCAGGTGAGACCGAGGAGTCCTCGGTGCCCCAGCTGGTCGCTTCTGGGTGTCAAAGGGCAGAACAACTCTCCGCCATCAGCCCGTAACAAGAGTAGTGCTTGATCGCTATAAGGAATTCACTTCCAGAAGTGAGTCCGGGGGCACCTGGGTGGCTCAGGTGGTTGAGCGTCCGACTTCAACTCAGGTCCTGCTCTCACGGTTCGTGAGTTCGAGCCCCGCATCGGACTCACCGCTGTCAGCGCACGGCCTGCTTGGGATTCTCTGTTTCCTTCTCTCTCTGCCCCTCCCCTGCTCATGCTGTCCCCCAAATAAATAAATATTACAAGAAAAAGAAGAAAGACGTGAGTCCATCAGGTATCTTGGGACCTAATGGCTAACGTCTTAAGAGTAGTACCCGAAGCCCTCGTGACTCTGGTGACCTGGGGTCAGGGGGCTCCTCGACTCCTGATTGGCCGTCTCCCAAAACAAAACAAAAGACAGAACCTCGTCCGCTGGGACACTCTACCCTTGAGGTGTATGGAGGTCGTGGGGTCGGCCCTACGTAGCTGATTTTAAAAAGCCTTAATCTGCATAACGTGAAGGTAGGCCGGGCATCACGTAGAGTGACTGTGTGCTGTTTCTAGCGACCCGGGGTCGGGAACTTCGGCGTTAAAACATCGCTTCAGTGGGAAACCTACAGGTTCCAAATCCTTACAGAGCTCTCATACTCCTGACTGGGTGATTAAGTCATTTTTATGACTATGTGATTTTCCACTCCCCCCTCCACCCCCCACCCCCCCACCAGCCCTAGTCATGGAAGTAATTATCTTACCTCTGTTTTCATCTGAGGCTTCCCAGCCCGGCCGTGACATGTTTAATTGGAGAGATTCATCATCTTTCGTGGAAACCCCTTGGTGAGACGCTATTCAGCTACTTGGCCTTGGCCTTTCCTGTCACCGTCTGGCCGGCTCTGGCTCCCAACCGCTCCTGCGGTGACCTTTCGCCACCCTGCTTCCCTCGATTACGCTTCAAGGGGAGCGCCCCCGGCCCGCTCCGGGTTTCCGACGTGGGGATCCTGGATTGTCGTCGTGCTTTGGCGTGCGTCCTGGTCGGTCCCTGCTTCCAGCTCCTCCTCCGTCTTCGCCGTGGCCTTCTGCTAATTTCTAACAGGAGGCCTCTGCTACCAACGGACAGCAAGGGAAATTGCTCCAAATTGTCCCGCGACAGTCTCTCTCCATCGCGAGTGTGGGTTTCCCGTCCTTGACCATGTGCAAATAATTGAGGCCCTTTTGCTTTGGAATAAGGTGATGGCATGACAAAAAGAAAAGTTAAAAAAAGAAAAGAAAAAAGCAAGCTACTTGCGATCGGGCGTCCTGGATCACATCCTGGAACGGTAAAGGGACGTTAGTGGAAAACTCAATGGAACACAAATGAAGTCTGTGGTTTCCTGAATAATGTCACGCCGGTGTTCGTGTCATGGTTTTGATGAGAGTCCCACGGTTCCGTGAGCGGTTCGCGTCAGAGGAGACCCGGCGACAGGAACTTGGTGCTATCTTGGCACCTTCTCTAAAATTATCCCAAGGAAAAGTTTTATTTATTTATTTATTTATTTTAAGTAGAGACTTTTATGGCCCTGGGGAAAAGGGGAGAGTTCTCTCTCGCCTCTAAATTAATTACTCCCTTAAAAACGGGCTTGGATCTGTCCTGGGAACAGGCTTGGAGTCAGCCCCATCCACGTTTGCCTCCCAGTCACCGCATCTCCAAGGTAGCAACCTTGGGAAAGTTCTCCAGTCTTCTTGAATGATACTTACCACAAAGGGATATGGTCAGGAGCGAAAGCAGCCAGCATGCCCAGCGCTTGGCACGTAGCGAACACTGAGCCGGTGTTCTGGTCCCATCCCAGCCGCCTCCTCGGCCGCACTCAGCACGTTCGGAAGACACGTCTTGTTTCAGCCCTCTGAACGTGGGGTTTGTAGGCTACGTAGG